ATATGTGTATCCCCATGCTCACCTCACTAGGGATATGTGTATCCCCGGCAATATGGCGGTCGTGTTCTGCGTATCCCTAAAGAACCACCCTACATTCCCACATCACTAGGGATACAAGTATATCCCTAACATTTCGCGGGAAATAAAACATGCAGAACTGCACTTACAAGCTTGAAAATAACACTCTAAATAATGTGTTGGATTGTGTTTCGAACAAGACTAATACCAAAAAGATATGTTGAAAGGGGCCGAAGTTATATTCGGCGAAAGGTACGGCTTAGTGATGCATTGTTTAATTAATACATTCTTCGAGTTTATTGTATATAAATGGTATGGTTAGTTTACATTGTTCAAGTATGCCTAGTTTATAATTTATGGCTATTTTACATTGTTCGATTTCATAGAACTTTTCAAGCGGATTTTTTGGTGGTACTTTCGTATTTCTACTGCAAATACTCGCGGAGTTCTGTAATATTTAAACTTCCTGTCATATACGTCGGAAATCAAATAATACGGAGCCATATGAGTTAATGTTAAGAGTAATTCTACACTATGTTCTATACCAATTTATGCGACGCGAACATATTATCTTACAACATAAGCACAGTCACATTATACACATTTACTGCAGCATTTAATAACTGTAAAAAAGTAAATACTTAATACCGGAAAATAAAGGCATAGATAAATGACTTTCCTCCTGCTCATATTTTGAATATTGCATCCCTTTCGCTTCTAGTGTTGTAGGTATCCCCACCGGGGGTACTTTTATCGCTAGGGATATTAGTGTGGGGATACACAAAACACGCGGATACTCATATCACTGTGACACCGAAGTGAAAGATTACCTTCATTGAAACATAAGAGGCGTGGTGCCTCAGCAGTCATCGTGCATGACGTCATTGTTGTACTCGGAGAAGGAAAATCTCAACTCAGTACACGCGTAAAAACGCTCAGGTTGATGGAATATTGATGAAAACAGGATTGAATAATGCTTTGCCGCCCACATTGTTCACAGTTGTCAACAATATTTAACAATATTGTTGCACCCGATTCAGGCTCAACAATATTGTTCAATAGTGTTGACAAGTGTGAACAACGTGGGCAGCAAAACATTGTTCAATCCTGTTGAGCAGCGGACTCGGCATTTTTTGCCGTGTAGAAAGTTTCACAATAGGAGATGATCAGTGGAAAAAACTGCCAGGAATGAAAGAGAAAAGACGCTTCGCAACTGCTGTAGTGAATCTCGCAACTAGTTCTTATAGATACGCTCTACAACATTTTCGAGATTTTATAATCATTGAATAGAAACCTTAATATTGTAATCTTTGTCTTTTATAACTTAACAAAATATTGTGGAATGTAAATTTTGGGTATACACAATAACATATACAACAGTAAGTATGGTATAGTTACAGGGCAGTAGATGCTCGTCAACTTCACAAATATTCATACTTATAACAGAAATAAATTAAACTACGTCTCTTAATTCATTCGCCTCAAAAACACAGTTTCATTCAATGAAAACAACTCAAATTATTTTCTCACTCTGATAACTGCAGGTTCACCACCGTCTGCTGCACGATAGTGTTTAGTGAAATTTCGAGTAGGCATGGAACATTGAATCTAAGAGATGAATTTTGATCCTAAGATTATTAAAAGTGGTCTCGTAGAGTCAATAATCTGTTGGCAGTTTTAAAATAAAGTCTGGATCACCCAATGAACCATTGAAATCATGCATGACTTGTATTAATAGGTTTACCCCTTAGTTTATTAAATACCATAACATTCATTCTACTGGACCAATTTTAATAATCTTAGTATCGAAATTCGTCTCATTCTCGCTAGTAATTAGCTGCGTAAAAATTTGCAACATTACTTCCGATATTAAGACTAATCTATGAAAATTTATAAATGAACGTCAAAAACAAGAAACTATGATTGTTATATGACGATCAACTATTGAACTTGACAATTTGCATGTTATGTTAATATAAGTTATTTTTAACTATTTTTTAGAAATATTCTGATTTTCATTATGTATATTTGTTAAAATGTTATGTAGGCAATACTTTCAAAAAAATTAATTTCACGATGATTCATCTTGCTATTCTGTTGAGTTGTTTATTCATATTTTGATTTTAGTGTTTGGGTGTGGTGAATTAATGTAATAAGATGCGTGATAGCTGGGGATAGAGAGGGATACAACTATCTAACAAATACAACCAGAATTTCGACGTTGCGATGGAAGGTCGTTCGTTGTGAAGTTAGTTTGGTTCGAAATGTCGAAATATATTTTTCAGGTAGTTGGATATCTCACAGTAAATACTAAACTACGACATATTATCAAAATAATTTTAATAATAACATTATTTCCTCACTTTAATTACTGTTGGTCGAGCACCTTGTGCCTTTCCTTACTAAAATCTTTTTACAATCATTAGCACAGGAGTCAATCCTGGGGGGACGTATCCCAACTTTATTGGAGGGGGAAACACCCTCCCCCCCTACAACCGTCCCCCTCAGAAAATTGAAATTCTTAAATTTTTAAAAATCGATCTTCGCAATCAGTAACAGCCTCGGAAAGCACCCTATGAACAGCAACTCTGTTGCAGTTGATAGTTTTCTAAACAAAAATATAACTGTAAATCCGAAACATTCAAATTTCATGAACTAAAATCACAGTAAATTTCCTGAGAATCTATTGATGTTTTTCTTCGCTTGCAACAAATTGCTTGTAATGTACAGCAAACCATATCAAGCCAAGCAACCAGAGCAACATTAACACAACACAATAAATTATCAAACGTTCTTTTGTGTTCACGAAACTGACAGCGACACGGCCGATCAGGATCCCCGATTGCAATGCTGCGTATGACACGCCTTGATAGAACGACGCGTTGCGCGCGTCAGTGATCTTCGACAGAATGGAATTACTGAGCGGATAAGCGAAGTAAGGCATGCCAAGGCATATATACAGCAATAATATGTAGTTTTGAGCACTTGTGATGTAATCCCAGGTAAATCCAATCGATGTTAGCACCACGATGGCTGCAATTTGCATCGACAAAGCAACCAGGAATATTTTGCGTTCATCAAAATAGTCCGAGGCGAGCGAGAATAGAATGAAAAGAAGCAAACTGAACAGGGTACAGTTCAGGAAGAGTAATTTAACGTGGATTAGTTCAAGATGAAAATGGTTCAATGCCAGAACGGGAACATAGAATGTCGCAGTACTCGAGAAAATTTCGTCTGCAATTGTAAGGTAAAGCAGACATAAAATCCGCGAGTTCCATTCAATCTTTGCTTTGCTTTCGTCATCATTATCGGCAACAGTTCGGTCGGCGATAGCATCCTCTTTGGTCAAGTAACGATCGACATTCAGATCGTACTCGGCCAAACTTCGGTCGTCTTTCGGGTGGACTTCGGTCAATCTTCGGTCACCTTTAGGATCATCTTGGATGAAAGTTCGATTATCGGTAATTCTTCCTTCATCGTCGCTCACAATTTCAACCCAGAAGTCCTTAGGTAATAATACTGTCACAATCAAGAAAATACTCCATACTATGGTTAATACAATCCCCGGGGAGTTTCCTTGATTGATATGCCATCCCCAAATTGTAACATCAAATGCAATAAAGCTTCCAACGCCGGGACCAAAGGTAGCCCCTACGCAAAATACAGCTTCGAGCAATACAAATATTGTTTTACGGTCTTCCACTTCGGTTTGTACGGCTATCTGACCAAGAATAATTGCAACACCGCCCCCGGAACCCAGTCCGCTGATCAGTCTGCCAATCAAAGGGAAAAATGCTGAGATGTTAATGCTGTAAAGTATGTATGAGACAACTTTCAACCAACAAGTGAAAAGAAAAACAAGGCGTGGATGTCCAATCCGGTCAACAATACGACCAAATAACGGACCGCCAATTACTGCAGAAACATTGAACGAAGATAACACGAAAGCAAGGAACAGCTTAAAAAGAAAAATTGTCGGGAAGAATTTACGTGTATTCACACTACGTCGTTACAGTTTGTTTACAAATTAAATTAGCACTCATGTAAACCCAAAATATTTAATTCAAATAGAGCAGTGAAATTTGGACGAAAAACATTCGGCTTTATTGTTTTAAGACCTTGAGATGCTTGGTTTGCAAGCGGTACAAAAACACGTTTGTGTTCACACGAAGACACCAAGCCCTCCGTTTTCAAACAATTTCCCTCCTCTATAGTATTAACTTCTTATTAACCGAGCGCGAGGTCTTTATGCAAAGAAATATCGGACCAAGGTCTTTTTAAATGGGATAAAATTAAATATTGTTGATACTGAAATGTTGTCATTTCTGTTTTAAGCTTATTGTTTGACAAGACACATTAGTGATTAGTTGCGTAATTCCATTTTTTATGTGCCGCTCAATCATTAACAAAGGTGGGAAAATGTGACTTCAACCAGTAATTTTGGGCCTGTGAACTGGACCAGGATGAATCGTATTACGAAACTTATTTTCCATAAAAGATCGTTTAAGTGAACTTTTTACTGTTACTTTAAACTAATGTCATTTTGGATGTTTATCATGTTTACCAAAGTCGAGAGCTTTATCCTAGTTAACCGGGTCAGCCCAGCTTCATATGAACTGCCTCTTTGAATCAGCTCCTGTATGGTCATTGCTGCTTGGAATTGACGCGAAAAATGTGTCATACAAAATTGCACTGTGCACTATAAATATTGAATGCACAAAAAGAACGGTAAAAATTGTATCAGTTGTACTGTAATACCTCATTCTGGCCCAGTGACCTGACATAATACCACGCTGTAGGGGCAATCAGGTAATTTTCACACCCAGCCATAAATTGGCGAGCATAACCGAATTTCACTATCCCCTTATGACGCACCATGGCGGACAGTCACGAACCTAAATGAAAAACTTGTTGATCATTATGTACAAAGATCCTGAAAAATTTAGACCCTGTGTAGTAACACTATAGATCAATAAGAAATTATCCTTACTGGGCCTCTGTAGGAAGAGCATGTACAGTTTAGAAATGATAGAGCTATCCAATATAAATAAAGTTAGTTTAGTTTAGATTTCCTTCTGTAGTAACACTAGATCAATACGATATGATCTTTACTGGACCTCTAGGGAGAGCAGTTTATAACTGATGGAGCTATCCAGTATACATGTAAATAAACTTAGTTTAGTTTAGGTTTCCTCCAGTAAGAATCATTTCCAATCGATCAAGTGTTACCACAGGAGGAAACCTAAACTAACTTTATTTATACTGGATATCTCTATCAGTTCTAAACTGTTCTCCCTAGAGGTGCAGTAAGGATCATCTCTTATGATCCAGTGTTGCCACAGGAAGAAACCTAAACTATAAACAGAAACCGTTGTTTTCGTTCTAAACTGCAGTACTTGCTAGGCAAACTTTTATTAATTGGTCTCGTTTTACTACAGACGTAAGTATAAAAGGCATACCTACCGTTCGGCCAGAAGTCCATATAGGAAAAATCCTTTCTTGTTAAACAGACGCTCGTGCGGCAAGGAAAAAATTTAGTAACAACGCAATTACGCTTGAGTGCACGCTATCGTTAAAAATGACAAATTTTTCATATCTACTGTCGGAAAGAAATTTTACAGAATGTCTATTTATGAATGTTTATGAATTGCATGACGACAGGTATAATTGCTTTGGAAATTATAAGATATCTATTTATGATCACTGTATTAATTACAGTTCATCAAAACGTACACTGTGTCATCTCTAAGATATCTTAACATCAATACTGCAAAATAGTCACCGAAATTAAGTTAAAGATAAAATCACTGGAATGGAACGAACGCAAAGTGGAATGAAGGTAAGACAAGACTATTCTTACAATTTCTTAGTTCTTGGCAGCTTTGCATGGAGACCAATTGAATTGTTTTCTGTATTGTTTGCGATGACAATGGTTTTTGAAACCTGAAATCATGATCTGAAAAAACTGAATTGTTTTTGCGATATATATATATATATATATATATATATATATATATATATATATATATATATATATATATATATATATATATATATATATATATATATATATAGCACATTATAAAGGCTGCATTTCAGCAGAGTTTTTCATACGTCAGCCTGTACGCACAGAAAAATTTAAATCTTTCTAAATTTTATATGAGAACTGTTTACCTCACTGAAATGTACATTACATCATAAACAAAACTGAATGATATCCTTTTGTTGATTTACTGCGTAACATTTAAATGGTTTTACAAAATTTCCATGTCTACACGTACTACGACGAACGCTTAAGTGGAATATAGTCACAGTAAATCTTTGATTATTCGTCAGCAAAATGCCGTCGAAAACGAGTTCAACTTCGAGTAAATTATCATTTATGAGTTGCTGTTAATCTTTAACGTTGAGAATTTCGAGGGCTGCGTTGTAACCAAGTCATAAACGTCATTTATTTAAATTCAGCTGATAATGATGATATTTAGGATGATAATCGTTCAGCAAGCATTTCAAGGAAGCAATGTAAACAACAATGGGGCTCAAGTTATAAATCCAGCAGTTCCAGTCAACAACCAATATATTATTATTCTTGGCGGTCGGTATGTCCAATTAAGGAGACGATAATCTATGTTAACATAATCCTCGGTGAGTTGCCTTGATTGATATGCCATCCGCAAATTGTAACATCAAATACAATAAAGCTTCCAACGAGAGAACCAAAAGTAGCCCCTACGCAATATACAGCTTCGAGCAATACAAATATTGCTCCACGGTCTTCTACTTCGGTTTGTATGGCCACCTGACCAAGAATAATTGGAACACCACCACCGGTACCCAGTCCACTCACCAGTCTGCCAACCAGAGGGTAATTGTTAGAGATGGCGATTAGGTATGAGTTATTTAAATACTACAAGAATTGTAAAATTAGACTTACCAAAGTCGAGGGATGGTGACAGATTATCAACTGTCAATCTTTAAAAATCTAGTCCACTGGTCTAATTGTTGAGCACTCAAGCCTATAAAAAAGATTGGCAGCGAGTTCTTAGCAGTTGTAAAGTGATTAGATATTATTAGTTAGTAAATATTACAAGAATGATGAAATTAGGCTTACCAAAATTGACAAATGGTGACTTATAGGTAATCTTTGAAGATTCTGTAACAAATTGATGTAGACGGCGTCAACTGTATTTTGTGTTTGAGACAACACCTTGATTTGTCGTAATATGTATTGTGTTCAAAACATCGCTTGATCTCAAAAGGCAGCCTCTCAACATCCTTATAAGGAGATAACTAGTTTGGTTTGACAATACCATTTGAGCCATCATCTGTGACAATCTGATATATGTTGAGACATTTGCATTTCTTTAGAATTCCAAGCGTACCAGCTTGAAATTTCAAGTATCAATTTAAAATTCAAAATAAAAATTAATAAAGTAACTTGGTTTCACACAAATCAAGAACTGTTTCCGAATTAGGGTAGGATTAACCCTAAAGTTAGGGTAGGTCATAGTCAATAGTATTCTAGAAGGTTAGGGAACTTTATGCAGACATAATAATACAAATTTATACAAACTCCCAAACTCTACACTTGTGAAGCAAGCATTTCTCAGCTCCAAAGAATTATACCTAAATGGTAAAGAATCTTTTTATTCAAATACTGTAAATCTATCAAGTAACAATTCTTCTAAACTTTCTTTTTACAACAAAATTAAAAAAGAATATAAATTGAAAGAATATCTAACCAAAATAAAAAACCCATGTCAAAGACGACTTTACACAAAACTCGGTCGATACCAACAAATACCTAAAGAAGAAAGAATATGCAGACATTGCAATCTGAACTCCATCGAAGATAATTTCACGTTGCTTTTGAATATCAAAAATATGAAAATATAAGAAACAACTCTAATAACATACTACAAACTTTCTTTCAAATGAATCAACCTCTAGAGATTCAAGGGAAGATTTGTTGACACATATAATTTCAAACACAGACCTGGCCAGTATTAACAAATCTATTTTCAAATTTTATTGCAAAATGTTTTAAAGTCAGAGACAAATGCCTTAAGATACAAAGCCCATAGCATGTGGTGTTACTCAATTATCTATTCACGAAAAAAACTATTAGGTATATGAACTACTCCGTAGTCATAATTTGTTTATGTTATTGTTACTCTTATAATCTTTACTATGTAATGTACTTTAGCAATATACCTGTAATTAGTTAAGGTCATGCTAATAAAGTTCTTAATAATAATAATAATAATAATAATAATAATAATAATAATAATAATAATAATAATAATAATAGACCTCACTATCTATATTTATGTCTTGGTTTATGCAAAAAATGGTCGGTAACTAATAGCGATGTGTTGCTTTGATTACTCAGTCGTGACATTACACAATAGTTAAATGAAAACATAGCTATTGGTTGCTTTGCAAAAATACAATATACACAACTTTCCATGTAATCAGCCCCTAAACCTTACACTGAATTGTTATAAACAAGCAAAGTTAGACTTCATTTGAAGGATTAAAAATTTTTGTTCAAGAACTGCATAATTATCTGTCTCGCTGTGTGAACGTTTTATACTTATTGCGATACTTGCATTTGTTTGACAAGAATGGTTTCTGTATTTTAATAAACAAGTCAGAAACATTTACTACCAACGGCAAAACATAAATTTTACATAAGCAACAAAGTCAGTAATCAGTGAAACTTTTAAAAGACCTTTAAATAGTACATTAATTAAAAACTTAATTGCGTACGTGAACGCACCGGCAGCTTGAAATTTGGCTAATCAGTAACTCTTTTCCCACGCTCCAAAACCAATATGATTTGGAGGTGTACAACAATATAGATACATAAACAAAGATAGCTGTCTGCACGCAGGCTAAATTATAAGACAAATTACAAAATTCTATGGACTGCAATTGAAGGGAAGATGAAATGAGAAAATATGATATACGGTGATTATTTAATGAGATGTAAATGAAGGGAATGACAGATTACGAGCTAGATGAAAGGGAATCGCTCATTCAATAATTGTGGACGACGAGTAATATACCAAGTTTGAATATGAGACGCCTTTCCTGCTTTTTACACATATTAATGAATGAATAGCATAAATTTGCATGTCAGAAAAGAGGGGCGTATCTTGTTCGTGATGCTGGACAAATCTGTCTAAAACGTCTTTCAGTTTCCCCGTCTTCCAGTGGCTCCTTGTATAGTTTTCTGTGCAGGTCTCTGTTTAGTTAAATGGCTGTCGAGAAATGTAATTTTGTTATCCGCATTAAAAAATATTCCATCCATATCTATAATTTAATAATTGCTTTCTAATTTTCTTTCAAGCGTTCACCAATGGCGTGTAGAATGGAAAACGAGGAACAAGGTTATGACAGACGTTTTGAAGGTCGAGTCAGAGGCGTTACAGGGCAGCAGTCAAGTTACTAAACAGCATGTCTTTCAGAGGTATTTTCCATTCGCAGTTAAAAATTGCTTCAGCATGAAACTCACTTCCATTGAAGTTAATTACAGATCGATACAGGACACTAATGTTTTTAGGAAAAACTAACCATAACGTTTGCCATAACCCAAATCCTAACCTTTTGTAAAACCACAGCCACAATCCTTATTGTATAATCCTAATCCTTCTCACGTCATAGTTGAATAATCCTTGTGACGTTGCCCTGAGTACAAGAAATGCCATAGTTTGAACTTTTCACGCTATATACAGCTATTTCAATTAAGGTTATCCACGAACAAAGCGGAAACGTCAAATACGAGCGCGAAAGGCTGTTGGGAATCGCTAACATATTAATGAATTTTCAAAGCGGTTCCCAGCAGCCTTTCGCGCTCGTATTCAACTTTTCCG